GGGGGAGAGGGAAATAGACAAAATTAATGGGAAGCTAAATAAATGCTTTCTGAAAGGCTAATCATCCTAGTTATTATGCTGTAAGATTTCAGTTTCTGTGAAAGTTGGCAAGTTTAAATCCCCCTTTAGGTTGAGGATTCAGTCTGGAGTTCAGTTGTCAGTTTTGAGTCCAAGGTTAATTGAAGGCCGGGGAAGGAGGAGAAAGAAGGAATCTTCTAGTTCTTTCACCATAACTATACTGTGGCTTCATTGTTCACATTCCCAAAAAGACATAGTAGGTATAATTTTTAAAATGTTGGTTGGGCACACAGCAAAGGTTAGTGTCATTTACTAAGGCTGGATTGGTAAGTTTGAACATCAGTATGGAAGTCTGAATGCAGCAATCCATGCCAGATCCAGATATTGGTGTAGTTTTGCTACTTGAAACTCTTCCTCTTTGCTTGTGTGGTGATATGACTTATTTTTATGAGGTTCATGAGCAAACAGCTTCTGGTTTACATAGACAGGGACGGATGGCCCAGCAGTCTTGGTGAGAGGTCTTTGGTTTTAGTGTTTCCTGGGGATGTAATAGTATAGTTGATTAACCGATCAACAAAAGCTTATAGGTTAATGCTATAGACTACATGCATTTCTTCTCTCCTCCCCCCTCCCCCTTTGTGTGGCAGGGTGGCCGGCAGCCCAGTTCAGTACTTGCTTGAGATGGGTCCAGGACCTTAACCCTGCTGTGGCATCTAAATGTATTATGAGCCAGGCAGGCAGCCCAGCTCAGTCCTGGCTCATGCCGGGTCCAGGAGCTCAGACCCTCCTCCCACCCACCCCCAGACAAGGGCTTCTGCTGCCTCTTAATCAGAGGCAACAGCACAGGGTGACAGGCACAGAGTCTGTGAAGGGAGCTGATTTTTAAAGTGGCTCCCCTCACAGACCAGTTCCTGCCTGATACCCCACGCTGCTGCTTCTGATACAAAGGCAGCAGCACAGAGTGGTAGGGAGCTCCTTGGGAGTGAGGCGCACTGGCTGCTGGCCCCGCCCCCGGAGACTATAGAATAGTCGACTAACTGATAAGAATTCATGAGGCTACTTGACTGTTCAATTAACCAATACTTAACATCCCTAGTGTTTCCTCTGCCCTCTTCTGGGTGCAAATTTGGTGACCTTCAAGGAACACTACAAGAAACTTATTTTCTGAGGTGGTGTTTGGAGGAGAGTTTTTAATTTGGGGGGAAATGAAATTTTGCGTTAGATTCAAAAAGGCCTTTGAGGAGACTGATTGTTCCTTAATCACTCTTTGACTTAACTTAATTTGCTTTTAATTTTTTTAATCCACATGGAGAACTTGAGAGCTACATAGGAAAACAATTAAAGAATTTTGACAGCAAAAAAATTTAGTAATACAAAGATTAATTCCTTTCGGTGTATTTTATCCATGAGGTAAGCATTTTGAGGAGTGGACCTACAGAACTTTAGTGCATTTCCAAAGTTTAGTACACACATTTCTAAACTTTGATACTTTCCTGGCAGAACTACATAAAGAATCTTGTACAAAGAACAAGCTGTCCTTTTAAATATTTCCAAACTTTAATTGCTGGATATAACTTTGTCATTTCCAACTTTGGCTGTTAGGAGACAAAAGTTAGCATGCTTCATTCAGTTGAATATGCAAGAGCCATTAAAACTATTTGCTTTAGGAGAGGTACAAATGGCCATAATATGTGATTTTTCTGCACATGTTTATAGCTACTTCAGAGGCTTATTATTTTGCAATACACACAGTCCTCTCCAAGGGTCTAATATATATGATCCATTAACAGACCCCTCAAAGTCAAATCTACTACACTAGTGCAGATTTGGGAATAAAGCCTAATACTTCCTAATCTAAATACACAAGCCCCTTCCACTTAACTAATGCAGACCATTTGTAAGCTATAGAGTAGAACCTCAAAGTTACAAGCACCTGACAAATGAAAGTTGTTTTGTAACTCCAAACAAACCATTATGGTGTTTCTTTCAAAAGTTTATAACGGGACATTGACTTAATGCAGCTTTGAAATAAGAAAAATGTTTTCTCTTTATTTTTAGTAGTTTCTCATTTAAACATAGTATAGTAGTGTATTTGCTTTTTGGGTTTGGTTGTGGGTTTTACTTTTTGTTTTTGTTTTTTTGTTTTGTTTCTGCAGCTGTCTGTGTACTTCCAATTCCAAATGAGGTGTGTGGTTGACTGGTCTGTTCGTAACTCTGAGGTTCTAGTGTAGTAGTAGTAGTTAGATTGTTGCATCTACAAGCCAGCCGCTCAATGGCACCAGATCTAGTTTGGACAGGTCTGATATCTCATATAGCAGAAGGCAGTAATATACATGTACAAGATTTTAGAAAATGGCTCAATCCTCATCTCAGAATTTAAATGAAGAAAATGAGCATCTTATATTAAATGACATGGTATTGATATATAGAGATCTCTAACCACTCTGTTGTATGGCCATTTGGTACCTTTACAAATAAGCTGCAACTAATCACAGTAACAGAATGACATTCTAACCATGTCCATAGAGTGTTCCATATCTTCAAAACTATTTCCACTCTGTTCAGAACATTAAAATGTGGTTGGAATCTGAAAAGTGACCCTGTAAAATTGTGGAATTCTTACTAAAATTGTACTAAAATATGACATGCCCAAATAAATTTTCCCCTGTTCAAATAACTTTTTTTTCTAACTGCCAGCTCTGCAAATTCAACCTACAGTGAGTCAAGCTGGGTTCATTTTCCCTTGTGAAACATCAAATGGTGTAACCTTACTACTGGTGAAATTTAAATAATTAACAGTTCTTTTGATGTGTGAACCAGAAAAAAATCAAGGTTTTTTTCTGTAGAAGCATTAGCAGTTTCCTCTGCCCTCTTCTGGGTGCAAATTTGGTGACCTTCAAGGAACACTACAAGAAACTTATTTTCTGAGGTGGTGTTTGGAGGAGAGTTTTTAATTTGGGGGGAAATGAAATTTTGCGTTAGATTCAAAAAGGCCTTTGAGGAGACTGATTGTTCCTTAATCACTCTTTGACTTAACTTAATTTGCTTTTAATTTTTTTAATCCACATGGAGAACTTGAGAGCTACATAGGAAAACAATTAAAGAATTTTGACAGCAAAAAAATTTAGTAATACAAAGATTAATTCCTTTCGGTGTATTTTATCCATGAGGTAAGCATTTTGAGGAGTGGACCTACAGAACTTTAGTGCATTTCCAAAGTTTAGTACACACATTTCTAAACTTTGATACTTTCCTGGCAGAACTACATAAAGAATCTTGTACAAAGAACAAGCTGTCCTTTTAAATATTTCCAAACTTTAATTGCTGGATATAACTTTGTCATTTCCAACTTTGGCTGTTAGGAGACAAAAGTTAGCATGCTTCATTCAGTTGAATATGCAAGAGCCATTAAAACTATTTGCTTTAGGAGAGGTACAAATGGCCATAATATGTGATTTTTCTGCACATGTTTATAGCTACTTCAGAGGCTTATTATTTTGCAATACACACAGTCCTCTCCAAGGGTCTAATATATATGATCCATTAACAGACCCCTCAAAGTCAAATCTACTACACTAGTGCAGATTTGGGAATAAAGCCTAATACTTCCTAATCTAAATACACAAGCCCCTTCCACTTAACTAATGCAGACCATTTGTAAGCTATAGAGTAGAACCTCAAAGTTACAAGCACCTGACAAATGAAAGTTGTTTTGTAACTCCAAACAAACCATTATGGTGTTTCTTTCAAAAGTTTATAACGGGACATTGACTTAATGCAGCTTTGAAATAAGAAAAATGTTTTCTCTTTATTTTTAGTAGTTTCTCATTTAAACATAGTATAGTAGTGTATTTGCTTTTTGGGTTTGGTTGTGGGTTTTACTTTTTGTTTTTGTTTTTTTGTTTTGTTTCTGCAGCTGTCTGTGTACTTCCAATTCCAAATGAGGTGTGTGGTTGACTGGTCTGTTCGTAACTCTGAGGTTCTAGTGTAGTAGTAGTAGTTAGATTGTTGCATCTACAAGCCAGCCGCTCAATGGCACCAGATCTAGTTTGGACAGGTCTGATATCTCATATAGCAGAAGGCAGTAATATACATGTACAAGATTTTAGAAAATGGCTCAATCCTCATCTCAGAATTTAAATGAAGAAAATGAGCATCTTATATTAAATGACATGGTATTGATATATAGAGATCTCTAACCACTCTGTTGTATGGCCATTTGGTACCTTTACAAATAAGCTGCAACTAATCACAGTAACAGAATGACATTCTAACCATGTCCATAGAGTGTTCCATATCTTCAAAACTATTTCCACTCTGTTCAGAACATTAAAATGTGGTTGGAATCTGAAAAGTGACCCTGTAAAATTGTGGAATTCTTACTAAAATTGTACTAAAATATGACATGCCCAAATAAATTTTCCCCTGTTCAAATAACTTTTTTTTCTAACTGCCAGCTCTGCAAATTCAACCTACAGTGAGTCAAGCTGGGTTCATTTTCCCTTGTGAAACATCAAATGGTGTAACCTTACTACTGGTGAAATTTAAATAATTAACAGTTCTTTTGATGTGTGAACCAGAAAAAAATCAAGGTTTTTTTCTGTAGAAGCATTAGCAATAGTAAAAAGTAGTAAAATATTAGCTCTTAGAAAAGTAAGATACAATATGTACAAGGAATAAGTTTTATCTTTTTTTACATAGTCACTTTTCTGCCATAACTGCACTTGGATTCACCTAATATAGTTAGTGGGTAATACAGAACTTTGCACTTCACTGGATATTAACTTATTGAGTAATTCAGAGTACTTTGACAAGCTCCTAAGCCTCTTAATCTTCATTGTAGTGTAAAATAGCTGCAAATGCTGTTCCCTCAACCATTTCGGAAAATGCTGTGCACTGTTTTGGTAGTGGCTGTACGTTTTCAGTAAATTAACTGTTTAATATTTTGACTTATATTTGCAGAGTGTTAGAGCCACACCACAAAATGAAGCTATAACAGTGCACTTCAAGCCAGTTACGTTAAAAGCTTCTGAAAGTAAATATACAAAAGTTGCAAGCATCAGTTTTGATGGTAAGTGTTTTTTTCTTAGAATTTTAAAAAAATTTCTTAAGCTATAGACATTTCATTAAAAACTTTGAAAAATACTTCAGAAGAATGTATGTACTGTATTATATTTTC